CTGGGAAGGTGGCTCAGTGGTAGAGTGCTTGCCTTGCATGCATGAGGCCCTGGGTTTGATTCCTCAGCACCATATAAGCAGAAAAAGCTGGAAGTGGGGCTGAGGCTCAAGTAGCACTTGAACACTCAAGTAGAGTGCTAGCCTTGAGCTGAAGAGCTGAGGGACAGCACCCAGGCCCAGAGTTCAAGCCCCACAACTGACCAAAAAAAGAAAAGAAAAAGAAAAGAAAAAATCAGCCAGGTGCTGGTGGCCCATGTATATAATCCTAGCTACTCAGGAGGCTGAGAACTGAGGATCATAGTTCAAAGTCAGCCCAGGCAGGAAAGTCCTGAGACTCTTATGTACTTCTAGATGGTTTCAGTTATTTACCTCGGTTAAAAATAAGAGTTTTCTAATCAGGAGGCCTGGTCTAAAGAGGTATGGTTTGAGTAGCCTTCACAGGTGACAGAGCCACCCCATCTCAGGAGGGGGAAGGGGGTGGGTCTGGCAGAGGCTCCCTAGCCAGGCTGGTGAGCTGACACATCTCGGTTCTGGGGCCCCAGGACAGGGCCTGATTGAACCTTGGGAATTTCTCGCCACATTCCTCATATGTCTGGCATACTTCACCCTTTTGGTTTTGATTCCACTAAATGGCAAGTCTGCAGCCTCAATAGTTTTTTCAGGAAACCAGCATAAATATTGTTATTTATTCCATTTACAATTGGCAATTAAGTTTGCTTTCAGGCACTAGAATGGAATTTAAAACACTCCATTAAGTAAACCAGACTAATCAAAGGCAGCCTGCTTTTCTTGCTCAGAAACATTCTCTCTCTTTCTCTTTTTTTTTTTGTCAGTCCTCGGCCCTGAACTCTGGGCCTGGGCGCTGTCCCTCAGCTCTTCAGCTCAAGGCTAGTGCTCTACCACTTGAGCCATAGCGCCACTTCTGGCTCTTTCTGTTTATGTGGTGCTGAGGAATCAAACCCAGGGCTTCATGCATGCTAGGCTAGCACTCTACCACTGAACCACCTTCCCAGCCTCTCAGAAACATTCTTTAAACACACTCACACACACACACACACACACACACACACACACACACACAAACACCACCTCCCACCCCCACCCCCCCACAGAGCTAGGAATGTGCTGTGGTAGAGTGCTTGCCTAGCATGCATGAAACCCTGGGTTCCAGCCTTGAGCTGGTGGCTCATGCCTGTAATCCTAGCTACTCAGGAGGCTGAGATCTGAGGATCTCGCTTCAAAGCCAGCCCTGGCAGGAGAGACGGTGAGACTCCTATCTCCAATAAACCACCAGAAAAACTGGAAGTGGTGCTGTAGCTCAAGTGGTAGAGCACTTGCCTTGAGCTGAAGAGCTGAGGGACAGCGCCCAGGCCCAGAGTTCAAGCCCAAGGACCGACCAAAAAAAAACAAAAAACAAACAAAAAAACCCTGGGTTCGATTCCTCAGTACCACATACACAGAAAATGCAGGAAGTGGCGCTGTGGCTCAAGTTGTAGATTGAGTGAAAAAAGCTTAGGGACAATGCTCAGGCCCTGAGTTCAAGCCCCATGACCTACAAAAAAATATATATATATATTAGTTATAATATTCAATGTACATATGTGAAAAAGGAACCAGGCAATTTGGAGCATAGGTAGAAGTTTACTATGAATTAGGGTAGAATGATGGAAGGAATAACATTGATCCAGATGCATTTTACTGATTAACTGATAATGAAATTCTCTATATACCTACTTAAGGATAATATAATAATAATAATAACATGAAACACCTGTGGCAAGCCAGGCCCAGTACCTGCCCTAGGGACCTTCCCAGGCTGAGGGAGCTGCTAAGAACATGCTAACTTTGGGCTATTTACCAACTGCTCTGCCACCTTCAACAAGCAGGTGTCATGCAGGGAAGACTAACTCTGTCAAATGATGAATGAAGGCAACGTGGATGACATGGTCCTTGTAAGCAAAAAAGGAGAGAAGACGGGAGGAGAGACCTCTCAGAAGTTAAATGAACAGAGTGTTCCTGTTTTCTCATCTCTGGGGTGGGAAAGGGATTAATGATGCCCACTTCCTGTGTGGTGGTAAAGGTTCAATTAGCTGTGTTTTTAAGGATCTGTCACATGACCAGTTAACTCTGAATTTCAGGCAAAGAAATAGCAAGTGTGGACTTAGTTGCAAGAGATAAAAGTAGCCTGCATATGTAGATAGAGATCATCTCTTGGTATCAGTTTAGGGCCCTATTTCCTTTTTTGTCTGCTTATCTTGTCCTAGATCAAAGTGTTCACAATTAACACAACACATGCTACCTATATAGTGCTAAAAGTTTTTTTTTTTCTTTCTGGTACTAGTCAGGGGTGTTTGTAGCTCATGTTTGTAATCCTAGCTACTCCAGAAGCTGAGATCTGAGGGCCACAGTTTGAAGCCAACCAGGGCAACTAAGTAGGAGAAACTATTGTTTTTTGTTTTGTTTTTGGTCGTGGGGCCTGAACTCTGGGCCTGGGCACTGTCCCTCAGCTCTTCAGCTCATGGCTAGTGCTCTACCACTTGAGCCAAGGCTCCAGTTCCGGCTTTTTCTGCTTACGTGGTGCTGAGGAATCCAACCCAGAGTCTCATGCATGCAAAGCAAGCACTCTATTACTGAGCCACCTTCCCAGCCTAGGAGAAACTCTTATCTCCAATTAACTACCAAAAGAGCCAGAAGTGGAGTTGTGGCTCAAGTGATAGAATGCTAACTTTGAGCAAAAAAGGCTCAGGGAGGGAACCCCAGACCCTGAGTTCAAGCCCTAGGGCCGGCACAAAAACTAAATAAAGTATAAAATAAAAACAATCATTTGATAGTAAAGTGGCAGACATCATGTTCCTTTGTTTCTAATTATTTCAGCTGTTGATTTTTTTTGGGGGGGGTCCGGTCATGGGGCCTGAACTCTGGGCTTGGGCGCTGTCCCTCTTCTCTTCAGCTCAAGGCTAGCCCTCTACCACTTGAGCCACAGCACCACTTCCGGCTTTTTTCTTTTTGCTTATGTGGTGCTGAGGAATCGAACCCAGGG